CAAATGAACCGAACCGAGTTGAACCAAACCGAACCAAACCGATATGGCAGTTGGAATAACCAAACCGGTCCAACTTCCATGAGGCCAAACCAATGCAATGGTTGAAATATTTGAAACGAACCAATGCAATGGTTGGGGTGTAACCACCCATACGAAGAGTTGCCTCCCTTGGTAAGCACCCCTTCGTTCTCCATAAATAGCACCCAACCCCTCTGAATTTTATATACGTTTTCTATGGTTCCAAAACTCTGTTAAAATCCAAAACTAGTTTTATGCGTTCTTTTCAAAGAGAAAATCGAGTCAAGTGTGGTTCTCGCCGGTTTGCTGGGTTCGATGGGTTCCGGGGTTTGAGGTACCGCTATGCCGGAAAAGGTACGTCCTTTCTATCATGGGATGAATCATTCCATAACCTTAGATACTAGAGGGGAATAAGATTCTTTAAGGAGAGATAGTGAATTATATTGGCTAGGACGTTTGCATGTGTCTTTACACGTTTTCTTAATCTTATGTGTTTGCTTTGTGTTGCAAGAAAATAGTATACGTGAACAGTATCCTCAACAATCTTAAAGAATCTTACTTTGTTATTGTTCACGTATTATGTTTGATTTCTGTTTCTATGTCTTATTGTATAAGCAACCGTGGTTCATCTCTATTTGTTTGCTATGGGAAAATGGCGTTTATGCATGTAATCGAGTTTTACTGATCTTTGTATCGGGTCAATAAAATTGGTCGCATGATGAATTAATCAAATTGCTTTGGATGGCAGTAGATGACATAAAGTTGATTAGATTATGATGAGATCATTCATTCATGCATATATATGCCTCAGATATTTACACGCCATAGTCACTGTTGTTGGTTATACATAATGTTTCACTCTGCATATATGTTTTCTTTTTCTTTTTCGGCCGTTGGCAAAATCTTGTGATTTGGTCTTGTGATTTGATGTGTATCGCTGGAACTTTGCTTGGGGAATGTTCAGACAATTGCCGAGAAACGCCGGAAAGAAGAGAGGAAAAAGTGCCATTCGGTTGTCATCGACAACGATGGAAAATGACATTTGACAGTAATCGGAAATAGGTAAGACTCTGTCCCTATCTCTTTTAATTCTTTGTGCATTCTGAGGGATGATGTATATATATATATATAGTTCTATATATATGTGTTCCATTTGTATATGTGTAATTAATGGTGTGACATGGATTAATTGTTGTTGGTTAATTACATGAATTAATGATTAATGAATCAGATTTGTCATGTTTAATTGCAACGTACGTATATATTAGAAAGGTGTATACATACGTTTGAATAGCGGCAATATATGTCTTGGTTCATGCATTGAATATATAAACTTCAAAATATTCGCTTTCTTGCCTGGTGGAAAATTAACCAATTGGGTTTGGTTAGTGATGTCAAATACTTTTTGTAGTATTTGACATGTGGGAACGAATTCATAATTCATTATTATGAGAAGAGTTTGAGAAAGTTCCACATGATTGAATATGAAAGAGTTCAGGATGGAATTATTCGAAATAAATTTTGGTAACAAAATTTGTATGAGTTTCAATTCCAAGTACTTGAAAAATGTAACACTTTGGTTTGTGTAATCAAAGTTGATTATGTTGTGATCTTGGAAATTAATTATAACAATATGACGGAAATATTCCCGAGACATGGATTTGATCCATGATGATATAAGAGCTTGTTTGATACCAACATCAACCACCAACCTTAATGTGTTAACCGCATTGATCCAACTAATTTATGTGGCATGAATGAATGATGATTGTGTCAATTTAATTTGGATACTTTTTCATTCAAAGTGATGCATGAGAGGATGGAAGAACATATGATAGCCCTTCATGGACTATAAGTAAAGGTGGTTTTGATAGTAGTAAAATATGAACAATCATAGGTGTGTAAAACCTATGTCGCGAGGCTAGTGGGGACTTGTGAGTCAAGTCTATCTAAGCCGAAATGACTGCTAATGGAATGCAAATTATGTTCAAAATAAGTTGAACATAGTTCGAACAAGTATACCTCCAATGGGGTGGAGATGAAATTTGGTTAATTCACATGAATAGGATTGCATTATGAGGTAGCCATAAGCGATAAGGAATTTGAATTCCTAAGATGCTAGTGATTGCATGCTACTATATTTATCATGTATATGGTTTAAGACTTGATGTTTCCTATGCAATGAAGGCAAGGAAAATGAAGCTATGGTTGATCCTTATAGGGATTGAATAAACTTGCCAAATGATGGTGGTCATCAAGATAAGCATTAGTTCAGAATTGTTTATGGTATAAGTACACTATACCATTGGAAAACAATTTGACTATGATTATCAACGTGGAGCTAGTTGCCATAATTGTTTATGGTATATATAGATATATAGTATTGGAAAATAATTTGGCATGAGAGCTCAATTGAGATTATCATATTGAACATAATGTCTGAATTACTTATGGTATATTTATGAAACTTAAACCATTGGAAAGTAATTAGACCACCGGTTTAGAAAATTCATTTGAATTACTTGTGGTATGTCAAGTTACCTAGATGAAATGTCATTGGTAAGCAATTAGATGAGATTTCAAGTACAATAGGGAGTGCATCTGAATTACTTGTGGCATCTCAAGTTGCCTTGACCAATACCATTGGTAAGTAATTAAATGTTATTTATGGTGAAGTCTGAACTGTTTGTGGTATGCTAATCGAATTAGATCATACCATTGGCAAAAAAATAGATGAAGATAGTGGTTGTCCAGTTCAATAAGTGAAATCATGGAATTATTCCATGATGTTTGGCAATTGGACGAATTGTGGGGGACAAAAGTTGTTGTTACGGCTACTATCTCAAGACCCTACAATGAGATGCAAACCTACCCATAAGAAAAAAGTGGGAAGGTAAAACAAGTCATACTTGAAAGTGTAAAGGTGTCCATGAGAAGCGCAAGTCCATAAACCTCATGGAGTTAACCCAGTCCAAGGGTATAACATATCTCTAAAATCTAGCATATCTTGACGTTATGTCAGAGAGCTAGTTTGAGAATCCTTAGAATATTTCTTAGAAATGATGATCCACTCTTCCCAAAAGGGTAAATAACAACATTCCCTCTATTAGAAACATTTTGTTTCAACAACTATGGTGAAATAGTTGAAATGTGAGGGATATTGGGAGGTCGCTTGGGTAATTCCAAAGTAAAGTGAAAGTGATACTTATGAGTTTTACGTAAATCCAAAGCTAAGTCATAAATGTCACTACATTTGAAAAGATACTTGTGAAGCTTAAGTACTCTAATGTTAATGAAGTAGAGAGACTTCAACACTGTTGGCATGTGTTATGATTATTGCAAGGCAATAAAATCAAGGCAAACACACATGATGTGTAGTGAATCAAAAGAGACGAGTCTTTGGTGTATTATACCCAAAGGAACTTATCTGATGAACCACAAGGTATAATCCAGTGATGGATGTGGATTTATGGTTGATGGGGAGCAGTACCTTGGAAAAACATCCAAGTTGACTAAATATATACCCACTCTAAGACCGGTGAAATTTAATAATCAGGCCCGCATAGACTGGCGTTAATAAACACACTTGTGCACAAAATGGTGATTGCAAGGGCTAGAAGTGTTATGTGAAAAAATCTCATCGTAGAAACATAACATTATTGACTGGTTAATTTCTAGTGAAGTTATCGGAGATGTTCAGTTTAGATCAAATGATAGCAAACGTGGGGCCCGCCTAGAAATTAATTAATCATCAAAGGGAATGGACTCGTGGCCTAGGACAAATCATCATGGCGGTAACTCTACCTAAGTAGGTTTGGCAGACCCAACCTCTAGGTTCAAGGAGCATACAAAGTTGACACGTGGTGTGATCAAATAGTGTATTTTCGGAATACACGTTTAGAAATCACTTATGTGAGTGTGAAGTGGATCCGCTTCAAGGAGAATAAAAGAAGGCCAGTTCTTTATGCACTCATGAGACCAGGCAGTGTTCATGGCTAAAACGAACACAACAATGAGAACCAGTGAACGGATAAGAGTTAGTTGTGTGACATATGGTGTCTTAGTACACAAGCAAAACCAACGGTTCAAAGATATCACATCTACCGATTGGTGAGTATACTCGATATATGTTCACTAAGGAAGATTCCTGGGGAACCTACCTATTCCGATACAACTCATTCTTAGTCGAGAATCACACGATTTTTTGCATAGTTTTTAAAAGTACAACATTCTCCATTCATGTGAGGGATTGTTGGGATTTTTAGTGGTGTGAATGAAAATGAAAGGGAAAAGATCCAAGAGAATCTCTTGAAGTACCATGTTGGTAAGGTGTGGGAGGGTATGGCCTCGAATTCGATCGATTTGATGTAATATGGGGTTAATTGGTTAAATTGGTTTGTGTAACCAAATGAACCAAATCGAGTTGAACCAAATCGACCCGAATCAATATGGCAGTTGGAATAACCAAATCGGTCCTACTTCCTTGAGGCCGAACCAATGCAATGGTTGAAATATTTTAAATGAACCAATGCAATGGTTGAGGTGTAACCACCCATACGAAGAGTTGCCTCCCTTCGTAAGCACCACTTCATTCTCCATAAATAGCACCTAACCCCTCTGGATTTGATATACATTTTTTTTCCGGTACCAAAACTCTCCTAAAATCCAAAACTAGTTTTCTGCATTCTTTTCAAAGAGAAAATCGAGTCAAGTGTGGTTCTCGCCAGTTCGCTGCGTTCGATGGGTTCCTGGGTTTGAGGTACCGCTACGCCGAAAAAGGTACGTCATTTCTATCCTGAGAGGAATCATTCCATTAGAGGGGAATAAGATTCTTTAAGGAGAGATTGAATTCTATCGGTTAGGCCCCTTGCATGTGTCTTTACATGTATTCTTAATCTTATATGTTTGCTTATATTGCAAGAAAATAGTATACGTGAACAGTATCGTCAACACTAGTGCTAGTGGGATAGATTAAGTATGAATCTGACTCTATCAATTCATTTCTTTTTCACGGATGAGATGCACTAAGCGAATTCTCATTATCCTCACTAATATCCAGACGCACCTTCACAAGTCACAACTAATCTTACTACCTTATTTAATCACGAAACAGTACAAACACTAGGTAGCAATCTAACTGTCATTAAAGGGGTAACAATCGTCATAAAGTTTGGCTTTTTCGTCATAAAAACAAGGCCCGTTGTGGAAAATGGCCCACTTGCAGTCGGTGCACCGCTGCTCGTCCCTCTTCGCGTCGTAGATGTCGAAGTACTTCTTGCCACCGCTGCCGTCCCACTCAAACGAACAGAAGAACAGCGTGTTCGGGATATAATTGGGGTAGAAAGTCCAGCCGAAGGAATCATCAAACGCCAGCGATTTCTCTCCGATGTCGTCGTCTTTGGACTTGCAGTGCGCTGTCAGCTGCACTTTGAGCCCGTTGGTTATTTGCACCGTCGTCTTGTCGGTCAGCGTCTGCCCTTCCTCTGCCGTTGTTGGCGAAGGTCCCATTATCAGTATTGCCATCACCATCCATGCTGTCGTCGCTAAAGATGCTGCCGCCGTCGTCATTGGTATGTTTTGTTCTCCGTCGCTGAATTGGCTGAGTTTGTGGGGTTTTCGTTGCTATAGCCTATATGGGTGAAGGGTATTTATAGGGACGGGATGGGGAGGTAAAGAGTTGTTGTATATATGAAATGATTTTTGTTTTCTTGTTAGTTGTTAAGCTGTTGTGAGTAATTACTGTGCTGATATGAAATTTTGATGACTTTGGCAACTTTTAAGTGACTATTTGATTGCGGAGTTGACTGATAATTAAGATGAATTAAAGGATCAAATCTCTACAACAACCCAAGAGCAACTTTACAAATGGATTTATACCATGTGTCACGAGTAGGTAATGCGAGGGACAAGCTACGGTGCTAATCCCTTAGGGGGTTAGCACCGTCCTAACCTCAATGGTAACACGTATGGTTAAGAAAACACTAGGGGTAAGTTAGGGAGAATCATTATTACATTTAATTTTCCGTTTTTAATTTTAATCTGTTTGTGTTATTGGCGCTGATTTTTAGGGATTTGGGACGTTTAGTAGTTTTGATTTTTTGATTAGTGATGTACTCTCTCCCGTTTCCGCTGATTCGTGGATAGCTACAGCGCCGGTGCGGGAGAGAAGAAATCGAAGGGGAAGAAATCGAAGAATAAATATTGTCGGAGGTGTCGTCGGAAACGGCGGTGAGAAGGTTTATTGTTGATGGTGATTGAATCCGATGAAGTTCCGGTGACGACCGTGGCACCGGAGATGGACGCTGCGGAACCGGCGATCGACTTGTGCATCGTCTCGGTTGAAGTGGGAACAGCGATGGAGGAGATCAACGATGGTACGACGTGGTTTCAGTGACGTGCTGTTGTGAGGATATCAGTGACGTGTTGTTATGCTATTAACAAGTTGTTGTAGTGTTTTTGCATGGAAGTGTTTCTCGCTTGGTAGTGTTTTGTTATTGATCATAGTAGTGTTTATGGGTCATAGTTCTCTTGGGACTATGTAGTCTCGTAACTATTGAGGTGCAATAACTTGGTAGTAGTGGTTTTTAATAACACGTGTGTAGTGTTTGTATGAATACGTGTGTAGCGTTTTGTGATTGACGTGCCGATGCTTGTGTAGGGTTTACTAGTAATGGCCATCTTCTGCTATGATCAAAAACACTACTGCTAAAAGAAAAAGTACTAACCCGAATGAATGGCCATCTTCCTAACCACAACTACATCAAAAACACTACTGATCAGGATAAGAATCACTACCAGATCAAAGCCCGCACTCACTTCACAGACAGGTGTAACCTAACACGAATCACTACCAACGAAACAATAACAACCACAAACGAAAACACTACGAACTGACCCATCAATTCACTACTATCCACAAACGAAAACACTACGAATGAATGGCCATCTGCCTTCACTGTAAACTGAACATCGTCGGAAAATAAAAATTCATCCCACTCCGATCAGAACCCAAAACAGAGCTAGGATACAGCAACCTACACGCAACCTCCATTGAAGACAGATCTTGAACAAAAAAATAACAAAACCCAGCAGGGAGGGCGACATGCAATGGAAAGACAGATCATAAATCCAAAAACAAAAAACAAGAACAGGGAATGGAGCATGCAATGGCGCCGATTGATGAGACTTGACTATTACCTGAGGCGGCGACGATCTCGGATGAGCAGAGGGCGGCGACAAGGTGGGAACCTCGGAGGGCGGCGACGAGGACGGACAAGCGGTGGCCGTCGTCGAGTTCGTAGGATGAGAGGTGGTCGAAGGGAGTATTCGGCGGCGACGAGGTCGGAGGAGCGGAGGGTTGCGTCGCCGATGATAGTTCAGGCGAACAACAGCCGCAACTCTCGGCTTCGCAACTCTCTGCTTCACAGGGAGTATTCGGCGGTGAAGAAATAGAGTGGAAATTGATAAGAAAGAATCTCCCAAAAAAACGAAAGTGACTGTTGGGATCCCACCACACAAATCTCGGCTGATTTGAAGCAATGAGTCAGCTAATTACATAGACCTTACAAAAATACCCTCAGAATAAAAACCTATTTTATCAGCCGAAAAAAAAATTAATATATGGGGTTAGGACGGTGCTAACGGGATATGGGGTTAGCATCCCATCCCATCCCCGGTAATGCGACGATGTGGAAATTTAATTATAATTATTACTGAGGTTCAAAAAAGCTTTAGGCGTAAGGTGGATGCTGAGACTCTTGTTTAACGCTTACAATATTTAGGTGTCGCCTAGACGTGTCTAAATGTTGAATATAAACGTATCAAAATAACTAACACTTGCCTAGAATCACGAGTTTATGAATCAATATCATCGGTGTCTACCTCACATTTCTAAATCCTCATCCACAGCACATGGTAAAATATAAAACATAGTGGAGCAGATTGAGAGAGGAGCACAAAAAAGAAAGAAAAATCTACTCTAAATATGGTCACCTCTAATTCTAGCCTAGAGAGTCCGGAGATGAAGAAGAAAAAGGGTGGACATTCTTGATTCTCTCTAACCTAGTAATATATCAAAATAACGCAGACAGAAAACCCAAGAATTCGCAAGCTCTAAATCCACGATAAAAATTAAAGTTCGCAAGTCACAAACTTGGTTAGAAACTCCAGAATCCACCAGAACAAACCCTAAGGTTGAATAGTTTGGTAAAAGCCAAAATGTTGTCCTTCCTACACAAACAATCACTTAAATACTATGGTCCGACTTCCCTTCCCGAAAGTGATTAGGAAAAATAAAGAAAATTAGAATAATAAATAAAATAAAGCAAATAAACCAAAATGGCCAACCATGCATGTCGGTTTACGTTGCCGACGCCAACTCCTTCTCCAACTAGGCTACTTCATCGATCTTCCCCTCAAGCTGCGCCGAATCAGTCTCCTCTGTCCGTAAAGAACACGGCCTCGAGTTCCTATCAGGAGACATCGGACCATCATCATGAAACTCATAGAGATCAACCACATTGAAATTGTTGGATATACTCATGTTAGGCGGTAAATCGACGACATAAGCATTGATATTAATTTTCCGCAACACCTTGAAGGGGCCATACTTGGGAGGTTGGAGTTTAGAATAAGTACCTATAGGAAACCTTTCCTTGGGAAAAAGTACCATCACCTCATCTCATTCAAAAAAAAAAACCTAAGCCCGTCGGTGAACATCAGCAACAGCTTTGTTTTGCCGACCAGTCGCCTCCAGCTTGACTTTAACACTGTGTTTGACAACCTGCAAGTTGTGTGCCATGTCAACAACGGCTCTACTCACTCGAGAAGACTTGGAAATCGGGACCAAGTCCACCACATGATGAGGCGGGGAAGTGTGAACGATGGAAAAGGACGACTTTCCCGTAGTCGAATGGACCGCACTGTTGTAGGCAAATTCAGTTTAGGGTAAAAATAAGTCTCACTGTCACGGCTTATCTTCGCAAATGCTCTGAATCATGTTAACCAGTATCCTGTTGGTGACCTCCTTCTATCCGTTAGTCTGCGGATGAGTCGTAGAACTGCGATTCAACGCAGTACCATACAGCTTATATGAGGTACGTAAGCTAGAAATGACTGGGGGATTTGTTGTTTTTTGACAACTTTGAACGAGGCTGTAACTAAGAGCCTATTTGATCAATATAGATTATACAGAGTCATAGTATATATAGATGTGTGTCGAGATAAAATAGTGAAGATAAGGTAGTTGGATAGTTGTTATCTGTTGAGAAACCGGGCAGCAACCACAAGCAAGAATAGAATGCACAAGACACACGATTTTTACGTGGAAAACCCAAATCGGAAAAAACCACGGGACCTTTGTCCAAGCCACAACTCCACTAGACTTTGGTGGGATTACAAGTCCTCTCTAGACTAGCTAGAGGATTACAAACACCTCAAGAACACCCTTCTTGGATCAACAATCAACCACAATAGCTCTCACCAACCTGGTGGATAACAAGAACAAGAGCAAGACAAAGAAAGGTTGAGAGATACCCAAAAACAGATTCGTACACCTTCTGTCCAACAGCGATTCCCGACTAAATAGACCTCAGAATGACGATCCCTTCGGTCAGAAATAATCCCATCCAATTGCAACCCTACTGTCCAAGTTTCAGGACTATCCAACGGTTCCATCTTCCAGAATACTTACTTGAACAGGCTGCCCTGCTGCAGAAACGAAAAACAGCAGCTCTTTCTCTCTTCTCTCTTTTTCCTTATCTCTTCTCTTTTCTGATTCTCTCTAAAAATGAAAGGCTGTCACCTCTTTTTACTTTTGACTAGACAATAACTCTCTATTTGAAAATAGAGGATCTTCTAGAAACCAACCAAAACTCAAACTCAAACCGGTTAATCCAACCACCATATGAGTTGGACCAACCCAACAAATCTCCCCCTCCAGCTCATATGGGGGGTAGCACCAAACCTGCTTCATCTCGACAGAAGATATGTTTTCCACTTGGTAGAGACTTAGTCATCATGTCCGAACCATTGTCATCCGTATGAACTTTGTTGAGCTCCAACAACTTCTCTTCCAAAACATCACGAATCCAATGATATCGAACATCTATGTGTTTCGACCTTGAGTGGAAAGTTGGATTCTTGCAAAGATGAATTGCACTTTGACTATCACAATAGAGCACATACCCCTCTTGCTTAATGCCCAACTCTTGAAGAAACTTCTTCAACCATAACATCTCTTTGCAAGCTTCTGTCATGGCTATGTATTCGGCTTCTGTTGTTGATAATGCAACACATTTTTGCAGTTTAGATTGCCATGAAACTGCAGCACCTACAAAAGTCATCATGTAACCAGAAGTCGACTTTCTAGAGTCCACATCACCTGCCATGTTAGCATCGGTATATCCATCAAGTATGGTCTTGCCATTACCAAAGCATAGACACACTCTAGAAGTACATCTCAAGTAGCGAAGAATCCACTTCACTGCTCTCCAATGTTCTTTCCCCGGATTGGAAAGAAATCGACTAACAATCCCAATGGCATGAGCAATATCCGGCCTTGTGCAAACCATGGCATACATCAAGCTTCCAACAACTTATGCATAAGGCACATTCTTCATTGCTTCTTTCTCTTCATCACTTGTAGGACAATGCTTCACACTCAACTTGAAATGTCCTCCAAGTGGAGTACTAACCGCCTTAGCCTTGCTCATGTTAAACCGCTCAAGAACTCTTTCAATATACCTTTCTTGAGACAACCAAATTTTTTCATTCCTTCGATCTCTAGAGATTCTCATCCCTAGAATTTGTTTCGCCGGTCCTAAGTCCTTCATGGCAAAGGATTTACTCAACTCCTTTTTCAATCTATCAATCTCTCCAACATTCCGACCCACGATCAACATGTCATCCACGTAAAGCAAGAGAATGATGAAATCATTTTCATCAAAGTATTTCACAAACACACAATGATCGGAGGTAGTTCTTGCATACCCGTTTTTGACCATGAATGAGTCAAATTTCTTGTACCATTACCTTGGTGCTTGCTTCAACCCATGTAAGCTCTTTCTCAATCTGCATACAAGATCTTCTTTGCCTTTAACCTCGAACCCTTCCGGCTGATCCATGTATATCTCTTCCTCTAAGTCACCCTGAAGAAACGTCGTCTTCACATCGAGTTGTTCAACTTCTAAATCCAAACTTGCAGCCAACCCAAGCACAACTCGGATAGAAGACATCTTCACCACGGGAGAGAAAATTTCTTCAAAGTCAACACCTTTCTTTTGGTTGAAACCCTTCACAACTAGTCGCGCCCTAAACCGAGGCTTTGAACTAGTTTCCTCCGTTTTTAACTTGTAGACCCACTTGTTCTTAAGTGATCTTTTTCCTTTGGGTAGTTTCACCAAATCATAGGTGTGATTCTCTTGCAAAGACTTCATCTCTTCTTGAATTGCTTTGTTCCACTCCTCCTTGTCTTCATGAGACATGGCTTCTTGATAGTATTCAGATTCTCCCCCGTCAGTCAACAATAGGTACTCATGAGGGGAGTACCAAGTGGAAGCTTTGCGATCTCTTGTTGACTTTCTTGGTTCGGATAGAGGTTGCTCTTCTTCAACTTGTTCTTCTTGCTCCAATTGCTCTTCTCCTTGCACTTCTTGATCTAGTGCACCTTCGGGCTCATCATGCACTACTTCCTCAACATTTTCATGCATTTGGGATGGAGATATAGGCTCCAAATTAACCGGACCAGCTACTGTATTTTTCTTCTTTTCAAGCCTTTCGACGTCTTCACTTGTCTCATCTTCAAGAAAAATCACATCCCGGCTCCGAACAATTTTCCTTGCAATTAGATCCCATAATCTGTACCCAAACTCTTCACGCCCATGGCCCATGAATATACATGGCTTTGCTTTGTCATCAAGTTTTGCTCTCTCATCTTTTGGAACATGAACATAGGCTTTGCAACCAAACACTCGCAAGTGTTCATATGAGACTTCCTTTCCCGTCCATACTCGTTGAGGCACATCACCCTCCAATGGGACCGATGGTGAGAGATTGATTAGATCAACCGCTGTCCGCATTGCTTCTCCCCAAAATGATTTAGGTAGCTTGGCATGTGAGAGCATACACTTGATTCTCTCACAAATTGTTCTATTCATCCTCTCGGCGACACCGTTTTGTTGTGGAGTCTTGGGTACACTTTTCTGCAGTTTAATTCCGTGCAATCTGCAGTAGCTTTCGAATGGACCTCTATACTCTCCCCCGTTATCAGCCCTTACACACTTCAACTTCAGGCCGGTTTCCCTTTCCACTTCAGCATGAAATTGCTTGAAAACATCTAGCACTTGATCCTTCGTTTTCAAAGCATATGTCCACACCTTCCTTGAGTGATCATCGATGAAGGTAACATAATAGCTTGCACCACCAAGAGTTTTATCTCGCATAAAACAAACATCGGTGTGAATTAGATCAAGTACCTTACTCCTTCTAGAAGGTGGAAATCTATGAAATGCAACTCTATGAGTTTTTCCGGCTAAGCAATGAACACAAGTTTTAAGAAGAGTACCTTTAGCTCCGGGCAAGAGTTGTTTCTTGGACAATATTTGCAGCTCCTTCTCGCTCAAATGACCGAGTCTCTTATGCCAAAGCTCAATGGAAGAATCTTTCTCAGCAACATTGATTCCTCCCTTGCTATGCTTTGCATTCGTCATGTAGAGCGTACTTTCCTTCTTGCCTTTAGCCACCACAAGAGAACCTCTTGAGAGCTTCCATTTTCCTTCTCCAAAATAGTTGGTATAACCATCATCATCAAGCTTTCCCGTGTATATCAAATTCAGCCTCATGTCAGGAACATGTCTCACATCCTTCAAGACTAGCTTGCAACCAGTGTTGGTCTCTAAATGAATATCACCCATGCCAACAATCTTTGATGTGCCATCATTTCCCATCCTCACACAACCATAGTTACCGTTTGTGTAGGAAGAGAAAAAATCAACCCATGAGGTCACATGGAATGAGGCACCTGAGTCAACAACCCATGTACTCTCTTGACAAGCAAGGTTAACAAAACCGGCATCACAAACAATGACCACATCACCATCTGTGGCAGCAGCAGTAGTTTCATCTTTTTCTCGGTTTTCCACACCTTTTCCTCTAGCTTGTTCCCGTTTCAAGATTATGCACTCTCTCTTCATGTGTCCGGGCTGGTTGCAATGATAACATGTGATTTCTCCTCTTGGTCTTGACACTGATTTTGATCTCCCTTTTGATCTCCATCGGCTGTTACTTCGATTCTGAGAGTTCTTGAAGTTGGAATTTCGATTTCTGCTTCTTCCACGACTTCCAGAATTATCTGCCACCAAAGCATGTGACTCTGATGTAATCCCCAACTCTTTTCTCCTTGCCTCTTCATTCAACATGCTATCCTTGACAATGTCCATCGTCAACTTGCCATTAGGTGCTGAGTTGCTAAGTGAGACCACCAAAGTCTCCCAACTATCCGGCAAAGAACTGAGAAGTAACAATGCTTGCACTTCATCATCAAGTGCTAACTTCATAGTAGTTAGCTGGTTCACAAGCCCTTGAAAGTCACTCAAATGCTTCGAGACACTATGCCCATCCTTGTACTTCAAGTTCACAATTCTTCGAATGAGTGAGGCTTTATTTTGAGCCGATTGCCTCTCATACATGGACTCCAATTTCTGCCACAATTCATCTCCTATTGTATCTTTTGCAACATGATGAAAGATGCTTTGGTCAATCCATTGTCGAATGATTGCCACCGCCTTTCTATGCAAGACCTCCCATTGCTTCTCGGTCTTGTCTTCCGGCTTCTCGCTGCCATTTTCAATTGGCTCATAGAGATCCTTGCAAAACAGAATATCCTCCATCCGTGGCTTCCAAATAGAGTAGTTGGATGATGTCAACTTAATCATTGCTCCACTTGAGTCATCCATTCTTGCCATTCACCAAACACAGCCCCCAAACAACCTAATGCTCTGATACCACTGTTGAGAAATCGGGCAGCAACCACAAGCAAGAATAGAATGCACAAGACACACGATTTTTACGTGGAAAACCCAAATCGGGAAAAACCACGGGACCTTTGTCCAAGCCACAACTCCACTAGACTTTGGTGGGATTACAAGTCCTCTCTAGACTAGCTAGAGGATTACAAACACCTCAAGAACACCCTTCTTGGATCAACAATCAACCACAATAGCTCTCACCAACATGGTGGATAACAAAAACAAGAGCAAGACAAAGAAAGGTTGAGAGATACCCAAAAACAGATTCGTACACCTTCTGCCCAGCAGCGATTCCCGACTAACTAGACCTCAAAATGACGATCCCTTCGGTCAGAAAGAATCCCAACCAATTGCGAACCCACTGTCCAAATTTCAGGACGATCCAACGGTTCAATCTTCCAGAATGCTCATTTGAACAGGCTGCCTTGCTGCAGAAACGAAAAACAGCGGCTCTTTCTCTCTTCTCTCTTTTTCCTTGTCTCTTCTCTTTTCTGATTCTCTCTCTAAAAATGAAAGGCTGTCACCTCTTTTTACTTTTGACTAGACAATAACTCTCTATTTGAAAATAGAGGATCTTCTAGAAACCAACCAAAACTCAAACTCGAACCGATTAATCCAACCACCATATGAGTTGGACCAACCCAACATTATCTGCATCATAGAAGAGTGTTTACTCTAATTAACTTTGTTGTATAAGATTTTGTCTTTTGACTTTAATAATACCAAGAAGGAATGTGATTTAACGAAGAAAAAAACTTATTTTCTACACCTCTTTTTGTCCTTTCAATTTTGTTACAGAAAATAATTTATAGTCAGACTCACAAGTCACAACTCACAATTAACAAGCTGGCATCCCCACAATCATTAGCATTCCCAACAACAAAACCTGCTCCCTCTTGGCCTCCTCCATACGCCTACAGCTTTACTTTAACACTGTGTTTGACAACCTGCAAGTTGTGGGCCATGTCAACAACGGCTCTACTCACTCGAGAAGCCTTGAAAATCGGGACCAAGTCCACCACATGACGAGGCGGGAAAGTGTAAACGATGGAAAAGGACGACTTTCCCGTTGTCAATGTACCGCACTGTTGTAGGCAAATTCAGTTTGGGGTAAAAATAAGTCCCACTGCCACGGCTTATCTTCGCAAATGCTCTGAATCATGTTATACCCAGTGTCCTGTTGGTGACCTCCTTCTATTCGTTAGTCTGCGGATGAGCCGTAGAACTCTGATTCAACGCAGTACCATACAGCTTACATAAGGTACGTAAGCTAGAAATGACTGAGGGATTTGTTGTTTTTTGACAGCTTTGAACGAGGCTGTAACTAAGAGCCTATTTGATCAATATAGATTATACAGAGTCATAGTATATATAGATGTGCGTCGAGATAAAATAGTGAAGATAAGGTAGTTAGATTGTTGTTATCTGCATTATACAAGAGTTTTTACTCTAATTAACTTTGTTGTATAAGATTTTGTCTTTTTACTTTTAATAATACCAAGAAGGAATGTGATTTAACGAAGAAAAAAAAGAACTTATTTTCTACACCTCTTTTTGTCCTTTCAATTTTGTTACAGAAAATAATCTATAGTCAGACTCACAAGTCACAACTCACAATTAACAAGCTGGCATCCCCACAATCATTAGCAACCTCCCAACAATAAAACCTGCTCCCTCTTGGCCTCCTCCATATATACTACACAAGCAAAACAACTAGCCAAAAGAGCTATTCAGCACTTTGCCTACATGTTCAAGCTCATCATGTGAGTAATAAATAAATTATGGACAAGCACACTAAATGACTAAGAAATGAATATGGCAGCAGTACACACAGAAGAAGAGGACAATGTTGTCTCCTCTCCATTTAAAGGACGTTCTAACTTGTCCAAGAGCATTATACATAAAACAATATAATAATTAATCAGATTTAGTCTTCAACATGATATAATGTTTTACATTCTATGCATTTATATATACACACAATAGTTCAACCGCTCCCACTGATGATGATGGGAATCTCTCATCACAAAACAATGACAAACAGACTGGAAGTTCATGAAGAAACCAAAAACAAGGAGGAAGTCATTTTCCTTTATGGTAAATTTTGCAAATTTTGACCCATCTGGCAGAAAGACATCTCTCTCTTACCCTTTGTTCCTTCTGTAGCTAAAAAGAATAATCTGCAGTATTAGCTATCTGAAGATCCACCACATGTTTCTGTGAGACTTGGATTCAGCTAGCTAGATCTTCTAGAGGGAAGAAACCCAGTTAAGCAAGTGCTTATTAGCTAGCTTTCTGATGAAATCTTGGACCTTTTTGGTAATCTGGCTGGCAGCTCCCTTTGGTCTTTAAGTTAATCAAAAGTCTCCCATTTCGTTGTCACCATAACTGCCTCACACTGCTTTACTACTTGCAATTGATCAACTGTCACATCCTTTGCCTTGGCCTCAACTTTCTGCTGCTGCTGCTGCATTTTTGTTGTTTGTGCTACCAATTTGCTGCCATTGCTTGAAGAGCCAATCTCCAGTTTCAACATATCAAGAATCTCAATGTTCTTCTGAACCCTCCTTTCCTGTTCCAATACCCAAAAAAAAAAAAAAAAACTTAGAAAGAGGTGAGTATGTGCAATTCTGCTATTATGAAAATAGGGGCACGATTTACTTTACAAGCTGATACAGTTAAATCACCCCACGATTGGTTGGATGTGCGTATTGACATGTCTGTAAATCATGTCAAAACGCACATCCAGTGATTCAAATCGCGTCCGAATCATCCACCCTTGTCAGCAGAGTAGTGACAATTTGGTGCATGGCAAACAAACTAACCTGAGTTGTTTTCTGCAATTTCAAGCTTCCATCCACTGAAACTCCATCCAACTCCACCAATTTGGCCATCAAAGCTTCAGTAAGATCATCTATATCCTTCTCAGAAACAATCCCACCTTTGGAACTCGTTGCTTCAAGGGATGTCACCTTGTGAGCAATTGAGTTGACCTCTGTGGTGAAGTGGTCAATGGATTTGGAAGCCTTGCGCAATCTAGACGATTTGAGCATCTCCAAACTCCGCCTTTCCCTGCTGATGATGTCCTCGATTAGGACAATCTTTGATCCGTTTTTCACCTTAGCTACATCCAAATACGCCTTGGAATCCATCTCTTTCTTCTTGTACATCAGCTTCTGGTCTTCTGGGTGGACTCCTGTTTCCCCTGCCAGCATTTTCTTCAGTTCCCCTGCATATGGAACAGCCAGAGTTTGAAAAACAAACATCAATGACAGAAAACTTTGGATGTGGTTAGGATTGATTTTTGGGGTTTTACCAAAGCTTGCTTGGGAACTGATGGAGACATTGTGATATGAAGAGCCAAATTTGACTATGACTGTGATCATGGGAACAATTGGGAGAGTATGAGAATTGTTGTTGCTCTTCTGAACCAACATTCCACCGGGCCTCATTTCCCATTCCTCCATTCTAATTTCTTCTTTCACAGAGCTGTTCTTCATTGCCTCCATGTCTTCATGAAATTCTTCTTGTGGTGATGGAAAATGGGGTAAAGATGCAAACTTTGGTTGAGATTGAGGTGACCCAGTTGGTGAAGAAACATGGGTTGGTTCGTTCTTACCTTAAGAGCCACCACAACAATGGTGGCAAAAAAAAAAATCTTCAAAAGAGCATGTGTTAGAGAGAGAGAGAGAATAATGAAATGTGCTTATTCTCAGACAGACTATGGAGAAAGCGGAAAGGTGAGGCAGCCGGGGGGAAAGAAGAAGGAAGGAGAGGAGAAAAAGAAATATAAGAATGGCCATCAAAGGAAAGGACAAAGGAAGTCTATTGTGGGGGAGAGGAAATTGAAAGTTTGTTTCTACTTATTTCTTGTTAATAGTTGAAACCATTAGTCCTTTGAATAATTACAGTACTGTTTTGTAAAAGTGTCGATAAATATTTATCCTTAAATTCTGTAATTTAAAATCATTTATAAATAAAATCTGTAATAATTCATAAACTTGTGAGGTCCTCGAAATTCATCTCTTTGTGTGTGTGAGTTTGTTATGCATGTAAAATGTAAGAATAAATAGATGGAGTTGATTGGTTCGGAAAATTTGATAAATTCTCATATATGGTTCTATTCTATCTATCTAATGGGGAACATAAAAATGGCTGGAGACAAGAAATAAAATTAAAAAGGGATGTGGACTTTGGGCTGGGCCACAGGCCCACAATCCATAAACACTGAAGAGAGAAAAGAAAAGGCAATAAATTGCACCCAAAGGAGAAAAACAGAAAAAGAAAAATCAACAGCCAGTTGGCATCTGTCTGTCTGCCTGATTGTTTGGTAATGCTCACACTTTCTTGGCTTTTCTTTTTAGAAGAAATTTTACAATGCTATATAGTATTTGTGTTATAAATTTTTGCTTTTATGATACAACTTAAAATTGTACATTTACGTTATGGTACAACTTCAGATTATACCTATACTTTTTGTGCAAATTCTTTTACGGTCCAACTTGAACTTGTACCTTTATGTGATGGTACAACTTCAAGTTGTAAAGTTGTACCATAACATAATGGTACAAATTGCTTTATGGTACAACCTAAACTTATACATTTAATGTTATGGTACAACTTTGAGTTGTACATTAAAGCACCAATACTATATAGCATAGTAGAAGTGCTCTCTTTTTAGATGTCAGGAAAATATTTGTGTACATCAAAGTTAATTTTAATCGTCCAATCTAGTCCTTATACCAGTACCTCTTCAGTTGAATCACAACTCAACTTCCTTCGTCCTTGTCGATCTATATTTCTCCTTGTCTAGCTAGTATCCAAACTCATACAAGACAATATAGGAACATGTCCGAAACTCATAGTTTTTGTTTCTACTTCGTGACTTCACGTTGAATTTAGGGTTTGAAGTCTAAATTATGAAAAATATGGAGAGTTTTCATTTAATCTGGTCCTAGATTACGAGTTCTTATATTTTTTTGGTTTTTCCCCCCCTTGGTTCTGCTTACTCAAATGGGATTTCTATTCTAGATGAATAGCTAATGAGATTCAGAAGGAGAATAATAATGCAAGGGTGTTTTGACAGTGTTGTCTTCAGCCTCATAAATGTCCATATTGTTATAGACTTGTAGCCATTATTCCTTGCAATGCAGAGTAGCTGAAAACTCCAATATGAGCCCAGTACTAGAGATTAGCTGTAATTGCAGTTGGTACGTTTTGGAACTTTGATTTTAAATTGATCAGTCAATTCAAACTGGGAAGCTGTAGTTTTATCCATTAACTGCCGGGATGGCAACGGATTGAGTCGGAAGTAGATACTGCATATTCGTTATACTACTCAAATTCGTTTGGGTTTTACCTATACCAATACCTAAATGAGAATCAGGTAGAAAATTAAAACTATGTCCATACCCATTCGGATTTCGAGTATCCACAGTTATCCATGAACATAATTTATCTTTTCGTTTGGATGCATTATTTTGGTTTTGTGGTATTTCGAATCAAAATACTGCATTATTTTGCTATGTGGCCTTTCATGTGACATTTCAATTTGGAATGTGATAATTTGGTCAATTGTCTTGTTTTGATCAAACATTCAAGAATTGTGTTATTTCACCACATAGAGAAGTGATGTAGTGAAAGTAGAGGTTGAGAGATGAGTT